CTTGAACTCCTATATCAGCTAAAACGTACCTTTTTCTTTATGGCAAAATAATTATTAGAGCTAGAACGCCTGAATAATTACACATTCATTTATTATTAGTCTCATTTAAAACCTCAACACTATCCCCACCTTTAGCTTTGCTTTTTGGTACATTCATCCCTTTTATAATCAGTTTTCAGGTTAGAACTTAAGTGTTTTGCTGCTATTCTGTATGGGGTATGTTTGAGAAGGGTTTGAAAGCACAAGTTTGTTGCTGACCTATGGTGGCACTAGCGAGCAACAGTGATTTAAGAACACCATTATAAAACAGAATCACTTAATCTGTATAGAAAAGCAATACGATTATTCTTTTCCCCTTTTAAGCTTCCAATGTGCTTTATACCTTTTGAAACAACACTTCAGTGATGTTACTAATGTAATTGCAAAATTAGTTTACAGTCACTGTATTTTATACACAGGAAAGTTTAGCAAAGCAGCACATCTCGTGATGTGAAATGATGCTATCTGCATGCTTTTAATCTATAGCATAGTCTATGTTTAACTGAAAAACTTACTGAAGCTCTACAAAATTACGTTTTCTTAATAAGTACAGATTTTGAGAGATACCTAAATTTAAATAATATGCAAAGCGAGATACTAAAGAAATATCATTGTACGTGTATAGCTTTAACATATTAGCAAAATAGATATGAAATGCAACCAATATTCTTTCCAGCAGATTCCCTTTAACTGGGTTAATATGCAAGTGGTTTCTGCCATTTATACGGAAAGATTCTTATTTTTAACATGCAAGATTATTGCACTTATCTGCTCCTAGAAAATATGTACTGTATAAACATATCCTTTATCTTGAACTTCAGTATTTCTGTGCTTCCAAGAAGAGTAAAAACATCTGGTTAAACTACTATGTGTGAGTACAATATGCAGGCAAAATCCTGTATGAATTGCATATAAAATAAACCACGGCTTCAATCCTTTTTGTTTTTCCAAATGTTCAGTGTGACCCGTCTGTTGAAATCGCACCTCTGATATATGTCAGCACAATAAGTGATGTACCAAAATGCTTCTTTTCTGAATAAAATCAAGTTCTGTTCTTGTTCTACAGCTCCCAATGTTTTAAAGTTTAATTCTGTTATGTGTGTTCCCCCTCAAAGCCCCCCAAACCGGAACGGTACAAACTGTTGCACACCAGCGGTGATGGCTCCAAGGGACTGGCTGGACGGAGTTGTCATGTGTCTGCCTGTCTACACTTGCTGTGCAGAACATCCTCTCACCTGTACAGCAGGCACAGACAGGCAGTCGCATGACAACCCAGCCTGAGGGACAGCCGCCAGTGGGAACCCGCTCTGACACACCAGAGCGTCTTCACCAACAGCTCCAGCCAAGAGTCACTCTGGATCTCAGACGGCCGGTCAGTAACCAAGCCGCGTACTGCAACCCACCTAGAGTCAAACCAACACTGCCTATAAAATACAATAAAACCCACTGCTGAAATTTTTACTGTGCTTCCTATAGTACTCTTTTCCTAGTTGTTCTCATTAACTCACTAACAGTAAGTTTTATTTGTACGCAGCTTTGCGGCACCATTGTATGTGTTGTCCTCCCATTGACTTCTCAGGCAGAACTCGAGTAACTCGCGTTATTAGATTATTGACGGTATAAAAGTCACTAAC